TTCAATGGCTCAAATTTGCAAAGAATTTTTTAGTCTATGAAAATTATAATCCAAAATATTGATTCAATCATAAAATTAATATCAAAATATTACAGTATATAAAAATATTTATTTTATATTTAATTTTTATTTAGAAAATAAAAGAAAATTATCAGCTATCAAATCTCACTACATTTTATAGTCACTTCTAATTTTGAAATCAAAATTATTTGATAAAAACAACAATAATAATCAAACCAATTACTCTATTTGTAGTTATTACTTATAAACAGAAACAAAACATCTTTTTTGCTGAGAAATACATATAATTGTAAAAAACAAACATTTTCAGCCCAATTAACAGGCCATGAATAAAACATAAAAATTTTTATGTTCTATTCATGAAACATTTACGTTCCATTTTCATTTTCGACCTGAAAATGGCCTGTTAATTTAATTGGGCTAAAAACGTTTGTTTGCGCACCATATCCCCAGGTGAAATTAATAATTCACCCAGACAGCGAGTCGATTCACGCACTGTCCGGATGGTAACACCATTCCGTTCTCATTTCAAGCGGTCCAAATTGTAGATGCAACGAAAATATAAAATAAAACAGTTCAAATTTTTACAAGATATTATTATTATTTATTGTGAAATTTTGCCATTCCCTAAAAAGTGCCACCCGGGGCGGGCCATCCCTGCCGCCCCCACTACGCTACGCCACTGAATTTACATCTGACATGGAGAGTGCCAATAGTCAATGGCACTCTCCATGTCAGATGAGAAAAGCGAAATCCTATTCGAGTGTAATATACAGTGTACACCGTGTACTTAGCACCAATCTACTTTATTTTTTTAGCTTCTGTTGTCCTATCCTAAAATCATCCAGATAGGGGAAAACAAAACGGTTTTAGGATAAAACTTTTTACGGCGAAACTTGTGACGCGATGGGTAATAGCATCAAATCACAGGACACTTTTACCCTAGACTACCTTAAACATTACCCTGAGAGGTTGAAATTATCGTAGAACACTTCGAATCATAAATATCATTTTAATGGAACGTAAATGTTTCATGAATAGAGCATAAAAATTTTTATGTTCTATTCATGGAACATTTACGTTTCATTTTCGACCTGAAGATGGCCTGTTAATTGGGCTGAAAATGTTTGTTTTTTACAATTAGATGTATTTCTCGGCAAAAAAGGTGTTTTGTTTCTGCTTATTTAATTGCTGAGCTCTTTTGATATTGCTATTACATATGTTGAACTATTCACAGAATTTTACTTTTGCAAATCTTGGGAGTGCACCTGTTACCAAAAAGTATAATAAAATGAATACAAAAAAAAACTCAGCATTAAAATAACTTTATTTACTCATAGAATATACTAGTACTTTCAATGAGCATTATATAATCATCTTCATCCAGCAATGATTCGAAAATAGATCATGAAATTTTCAAATTTCAAATAAAAATTCAAAAAGAATAAACTTTTAAAGTACAGAACAAAATACAAAAATTAGTGGAAAACATAAAAGTAAAAATTTTTATATCTAAAAACTTTCCATTTTTTGAAATGAAAATGTATCATAATAATAAAATACAGAAATAAAACTATAGCTCTCATTAGGACTAAACTATGTTATGCTCAACAAGCTAGAATATACTAGAGTAGCTGAATTTTGATACAGTGATCTTGGTGGCAGCAACAGGTACTACTGACTGCCATTTTACTTTAAGTCTACACATTGAAGTCTATACCAGGTGCTGGGCAGGATTGTCATTTTAGAATTTATTTTTCTCATCTAAATCTAGACTGTATTGTTTGCCACTAGATTTGAGATTTAGGCTATTAGATAAGTGATATAAATCTAGATTGTTTTGTCTCAAATTTAGTTATTCTCTAGATTTTATTTAATTTATCATAAAGAAGGTAAGATCAGAGTTTAAAGTGGTAAATATAGTACTTAACCCTCAATATAACAACATTTTTATAATCTAAATACTAGCCAGCTCTTGAAGAGCTTTACTCTCAGCCATATGATTGTTCATTTTTTAGTGTACTCAGGTCAGTCTAATCCATGCCATACTCAGTACATTGTTGATTTTTTCAGACTTTTATTTTGCAGAATGTAAGTAGTGTTCTTGTGTTTTTATTATAGTTATAGTTTTTTTTGTGAAAATTTTGATTTCAACTTGTGAAAATATTTACAATGAAAAACTACATTTTGATCTTTAGTAGCATGTAGACAAACAGTAGTTATGAACTAACACGATTTCAACTATCTGAATTAACAATAATTAAATTAAATTAAAAAGAATTTCATCTACATATAAAGTTTCCCAAATAAATAATACACTTCATTCTCTATACAGTAGACCACCCCTATAACATGGTAGATACATTCTGTTTTATATAAATTCCGTGTTTTACGAGTCACTTAATTAAATACATGAGCCAATCACAGCCTGGCACATGTGCAGTTTAGGGACTAAAGCTGTTTGAAAGGTTTTCTTCCATAAAATTAATCAATTCTAGACTAATTTGACTCAACATTTCCAAAACATGTATAATTTTTTGAAAATAATCCATATAAACCATGCTATAAACAAAAAATTGTAGGATTACTTACCGAGTGTGCACCGTTCAACAATGCCATTGCTTAAGCTTGTTTTCATTGTGGAGTGGCATATTGAACGGTGGGCGCGTTTTCTAATAAGTTATTTTTCTGCGAAAAATTTGCTGAACTTTGGAGACATCATTAATAGAAATATAATTTTAATGGCCGTTAAATAATAAATGGTTTTTAGTAGGTCCACTGCTCATTTAAACTCAACAGTTTGTGCAATATCCGCTATTGGTCTAGATTCAACCAATCCTGTCACAACACGAGTTGGTGATGACATTTTACCATATTATACGAGTCTCTTTTAGCATGTTTATACAAATATGATTGCAATTTTTTCGCCATGTTATACGAATCCATATTATATGAACCCATGTTGTAGGAATCTACTGTACTGGTGCATAAAAGATAATACAGATAGTAAAATCTCCATCAATCTCAAAATTAGTCGAGCAGTCATCAAAATTATCATCTTTAATGTTTTCAACTTACTCCTAAATAAGAAAAACTGAAAATTATCTGACCTTGCTTTAACAGAATCTCCTAAACCAGACTTCTCATGCTTTTATCATTACCCAAGACTTTGCATAAGGATACTAAAAAAGAATATTTCTTAAAAAAGGAAACAAGATTCAACAAAATAAGTACAGAATGGAAATTTGTACATATCCATACCATATCCTTCTTGACAAACATAGCAAAAGGTGGAAATAATGTCCTTGGGATTCTAGCACAAAGGTGATTGAATTTTGCTAGAGTATAGTCCACTCTTCTAATTGCATTACTAACATATCCAAATTCTTTAAGCAATACAAGGAGGGACACAAATACATGAACATTTCAGGCAATTACAGCAGTATTAACATTAGATAGTTAAAAGGATGTTGAAGGAATAACTACAGGAATTACTTTAAATTTAAGGAAAACACCAAAATATAGCCCAGTTGGTGCTTTATATAAGTATAGGTCCAAAAAGGAAATTGAACCATCACGATCTTCCCATTCCAATATGAAATCTATAGAGGGTGAAAAAAATAATAAACAAAAGCTACCAAATCTTCACGCAATCCCAAACAATCAAGATGTCGTCCAAGTAGCACAAATAAATTTTTACTTTTGTTGTGTACTTTCCACTAATTTTGTTCTATAATTTAAAAACTTGCACACTGATATTTTAAAAGTTTGTTCTCTTTTCAAATTTCTACTTGGAATTCAAAAACCATGTGTTCTATTTGTGAATCATCTACCTAATGAAAATGGTAATCCACCATTGAAAATACACACATTCTATACCTATGCTATTAATGCCATAAGTTTTTTGGATTCCTTTCATAGTTTTATTTTTGATTTCGTTACTTATTTTATTTCACTTATTTTCATGAATTTAGCATTTTATGTAAAAATGTCTCTTTTTTAATACTCCATAGTAAAATATTTGGGTATAACATACTTTTGTTAAAGTATGTTCTACCCAAGTATTTAACCAAGTATGTTAATGTGTATGTATGTATGTATGTATGTATGTATGTATGTACGTGGAATTTATAGTTTGAAAAAGAAAGATAGAAGACAACAACAATGGTTACTAACACAGAAATTAGAACATTTGATGAGTTACGAATGCTAAAGTTGGAACATTTCTTAAAGAAAATAGGAAAAATTGTTTGTATAAAAATGATGCAGTTTCATTTTTTTCATCAATTACTGTTCTTATAATTACTACATACGCATATATAAATTACCTAAAGTAACCTACCTAAATTCTAAATTTTGAAAAAAAGAAATTACTGATCAACAATATATTTAAATTAATGGCAAGAACCACAAGATACATATATTAATTTCATTACGAACCAATGATATAATGATTTAACTTAAATTTTGGTCTTGTTAAAGCATATAAACGAAATCCATAAAAATAACTTCTTTACTTTTATTTTTATATTTAAAATTATTCATTTCGATTTTACAATCGACATGTAATTCACGAAATAAACTAACTAGAAATTAAAATCGATTTACATTTATTAATATAAATATTGTTTTAATGTAAAAAATTAACCGTTCGAAATTTTTTAAAATTTATCAGAAACAAAGAACGTAAAACTTCCGGATCACATCTTTAAAAAAGTAAAGAAATAATACACATTACGCATGCGTTTCCGCCATCTTAAAAACTGTTGTTCTTAATCGAAAATCAATCAATATAACGTAAATTTAACCGTAATAACAACTAAAACTTTAAGTTAATGATCGAAATAAGATTGTCACTTAAGATTTCATCTCGTTTTCGTACTATTCTTACGTTTCGAAGCAATTAATTAGTACTTTCGTCATCGTATATACGTTAGCTTTAGTAATAAAAAAAAAATCAAAATATGAAATTTTCTCACCGTTCAGCTGATAGAATAAGTCCAATTTTTATAAACAATAGTAATTAACAATTACTCAAATACAAACGAAATGCCAAAATTTAAATGGAAATGCTTAAATCAAGCACCCCACAATATCAATCGACCAAACAACGTAACAAAACGGGGACTACAAAATGAAATCAGGGGCGAACAAATAATCTTACAAACATTTGTAACAAAAATTGTATTTTATTATCAATTAATGCTTTAAAATTGTTTCTGTATTAAAATATATTGTAAATAAATTTAAATTTATTTAAAATAGATATTTAAAAAAAAAAAAACAATAAATTCTGTAACGTTTACTCTTCGCTTATCTTGAACGCCGAGCCGAAAAGTTTGACTTTTATACCGTACATTTTTTTAACAGGAGAAATATTTTGAAAAAGATAAATTATTATTTAATGTAAAGTAAAATATATCAAAAGGTAACAAAGGGAAGCATTAATATAATTTTAATTAAAATTTCATAACAGCTGAATTATTTTGGAATCTTAATTGATATTAATCTTAAAACATCGGCACTCTAACGTGGCTTTTCTTTTAACTCTTTCCACCCTGTGGGCACTAAGAGGGCCTCTATTTTGCAAGCCTATTTTGGGTTCGGCTAGGCCCACAATGGGGCTGCCGGGTGGTGGGAGGCGGAGCCCGACATATCCGATCGGACCACCTCTCGAAAGATTCCTGGAGATTTTTCGATCCGTTCGGATTCGAACCCGGGTCCCCCAGAGCGGTGGGCTGCCACCTTGACCGCTCGGCCATCCGGCCTACTCTAACGTGGCTATTTTAAAACGGCTCTTTATTAAATTTCATCTAAAGACGCTTAATTGTATTAGGGTAGATTTTAAAATTGATTCGAATCCAGTGCTGCCGCCTTCGTTTTGCCCTAGATTATCCTAAATTGAGAAAACTCCGAGCTCATGTTCGGATTAAAAAAAAAAAAAAAAAAAAAAACAGGTAAGTGTAAGCAACAATATACCTCATTATTAATTTTATGTGAAATACTTTTTGTTTAATTTTAATTTAATGACCATTCGTCNATCAGAACAATTCCTAATTCAATGTTTTTAAAAACTAAAATGTCTTAGGATTTTGAGGCTTTATCAAAGGTATTAATTTACATCTGACATGGAGAGTGCCAATGGTCCAATGGCACGAAGGTTCAGAAAAGCGAAATCCTATTCGAGTGTAATATACAGTGTACATCGTGTACTTAGCACCAATCTACTTTATTTTTTTAGCTTCTGTTGTCCTATCCTAAAATCATCCAGATAGGGGAAAACAAAACGGTTTTAGGATAAAACTTTTTACGGCGAAACTTGTGACGCGATGGGTAATAGCATTAGATCACAGGACACTTTTACCCTAGATTTACCATAAATATAAGACTACCTTAAACATTACCCTGAGAGGTTGAAATTACTCTAGAACACTTCGAGTCATAAATATCGTTTTAAGCATTGCCAATATTATTTAGGAAAGTAATAAAACTTGGGACATTGGTAAGAGACGCAACATTTACAAAATTCGGAAGAACTTTTTCGTAGGAAAAGTTAATTCCGAATATTCCATTACATTAACATACTTTCTTCATAAACTCTTTCTGCCCAGTGAGTAATTAAGAAAGCCTTTTTAACAAGCCCGTTATGGATTCGGCCAGGCCCACAATGGGGCGGCCGGGAGATGAGGGATGAGACTTCATAAATCCGGATGGAACACCCTCGAAAAATTCCTGGGTATTTCGATCCGTCCGGATTCTATTCTGGGTTCCCAGAGCTGTAGACTGCTACATTAATCTAGAGGTATCGTTGAAAAGACGAACGAAAATACCGAGGATTATATAAAAAGTCTGAAACTACTGGAGGTCGTCACCACAATGTCTAATATATAACATCTACAGGACGCAATAGCCAAATAGCTAGCGTCCAACCAAACGAAGAAGAAGAATTCCGAGGATTTCCCCCAAATACTTTTTTCCGAAGAAAAATATCTGAAGTCAACTCTGTACACGAGACCTCCTAATTTAAATTTGCCTGATTCCCATGTAGCTATAACACGCCATCGAATCTCAAGAATCCCAAAATTTTTTGTCAGGCACGCCAATGAGTATAGCCGAGTGGGTAAAGCTACCGAACACGGCTTAGTCGCGGGTTCGTGTCGTATCTTCGAGCTGGCTACGTGGAGTTTTCCGGGTTTCCTTGCAAGTCTAGCTGAATAGGGGCAAGTTTTCAGTAGAAAATCCTCCTCTGGAGGCGCGCATTGGCATATCAGTCATGTGTTGCATTGTCCTATTCCATTATCTATTCATCCATAATAGAAAGTTTGAAAGACCCATAATGACAACTGGATGGCCTAAGCGAGTTCCTTACTACTTGGTCGTTCCCATTGTGGGTCTGGACAAACTTATGATGAGTATGATTTAAAAATTCTCATCAGAAATTGGTTTATTGTAATCAACTAATTCCTCTTCAGTTCGTACCCAAATAGCTGTTTCTCTTAAACTATAGTTTTTTTTTTAGATTTACTTGTTAGTTAAACTGCCTATTGAATTGCTTATGTAGTGTAGGATGCAAAAAAACTATTCTATTCAACAGTGATAATGATTTGTTATGACGGATGTAAACAATGGAATGTATATTAAAAATTTTTTGAAGTTATTTTTATACTAATTAGATGTTATTCTCTTCAGTTTGCTGTGTCTCATGTTTCAACCTGGTGTCTGCATAAGGCCCGATTCGTGAAAGTGTCATTAGTTATAATGTCATATTCTCGCGAAGTAGTTAGATACGACAAATTTCAGACATCGTATCTGCATTTTACGAAGTTTATCGTACTATTTATGACAAAATATCAGTTATCTGATTTCGAGAGTAGGCCTATACCGTTTTGTCCAAAATATGAATATACAGTAAAACCTGTTTATGGCGACCACCCACGGTTCCTTCAAAAAGTGGTCTTTTAGACAGGTGGTCGTCCAATACAGATGGTGATGTAATACCGTATTTCCGTACGTATTTTGCGTACTTTTTAGCCATTTCTACTAAGCAAAACTCGAGGCGAGCAAAAATAAGCGAATTTTTTCAACGATAGGGCTATATTGGTATTGTATTTTATTCTTATCGAATAACCCGATTTACAAGAGTCGTCATGATATTATAAGACAGATTTAACACCAATATTTTAAAGATTAACACAATACTCGCATTTTCTCGATTATAATGCATACTTTCTTTTTTCCGACTTAATTAATTCGACTCGGTTCTTTTCGTTCGCTCCTCAGTTACGTGTATTACGTCATCAATATACAAGCGCGTCCTATCTCTCCATCACTTTGCTTTTGGTTTTTGTTAGTTTAATCTTATTTTAACTTTAAAAATACTGTATTTTTTAATATTTAATATTTTCTTAATTAATTAAGTACAATAAGAAAAATTATTAATTAATAATAAAGCGATTTTATTAATTTTTCTCATTATACGATTTCATTACAATCGCGGAATCGAAAAAGGAAGTAAAACTGATTTTTGCATTAATGCGTTTATTGTTTTTTGAATATTTTGCCTGCGAAAATTACTTGGATATTATTTTTCTAAAAATATCGTGGAAATA